TTGTTGTAAAGCGTGCCTAAAGTACTTATACCTCTATAATCAGATTTAATCTCAACGAATTGAAATCAAGCGAAATTGCTTGATTTATGATTTTTGATTGGCTTGTCTGAGTATCAGTCAATAAAATTACTGAAAAGGAATGCATTACAAAAATCTATCCGATCTTGTTTTAAATAGCACAATAATTATCCAGTACACAATAACTGAGAAAGTTAAAACCCGCTATTAATACATTAGCAACTTTTTAGACTTTTTCGACCGCCCTGTAGTATCACTAGACGAAGTTGGGAAGGAGGGTTCCAAATACAAATGTGTTCCTGGTCGTACCGTCCTCAAAGTCATAGAAAAACAGGAGGCAACTGTTGATGAGTCAGAGGATTCCGACGAGTACTCGCGATCAGGACCGAGCAGGCGGATACATATGTCGGTAGTGTCCAAGGACGAAACTTGCTTCATGTGTGTATGCTCTGCTGACGGCCAACACGAGTACTGCAGCGGCAGACCTGCGCACACTATCAACGAGTGCATCTTGTCGAAAAATATCATTGATCAATTCAACTCCGGTATTCCGTTCAAACACTCCAGGAATTTACCCTACAGAATCAGACGAGGTTTGTGGAGACGGTGCAGCTAGCTATAAAACGGTTGAGGTGTAGACTCGCACCGTGTCGCCCTCTTTGTTAGTTAGGACACATTGTCACGCTATATCACATAACTTGTCATTTAAATTAAATTGTGCATGTCTTAATTACATAATGGAAGTACAAGTATCGTATTTCATCGCAGATTATTTGTGGCACAACGACGAGATACCATACTCAGCCACAGCCAAGTGCTTTCGTGGCCACTCGTACTACAGCAACAGTGCCACAGCTAACAACACTGACGTGGACGTGAACTCCGACGTTGACTCGCTCCTGAACTATAACAACGAGGACATTTGCTACTATTGTGTCTGTTCCGTGGACGGCGAGTCTGTCGGCTGTATACACAGAGATGTGTCTTTTTGCAACTTCTACAGAGTCATAAGATCTGAAAAGCATATCAGAGACAGATACACCTCCTACCTCGGCCAGGACCGGCCCACTTACTTCAGACAACTGTCCTGGAGGATGAGGAGGACCATGGATAATGGCATCTATGATTTGATTAATACTGGTATGATCTTGGTCTCGCTGGGGTTCGTTTGCCACTTCTTTTTTGCTGGTTTCTTTGTTTACAGGTTCTTTCAAATATTTTGATGCTATTAGTGGAACCATTGTCGATAGATTTATTTTTGTCAGTGTTTATAACATGTGTTGCGTTGTGTTGTGCTGAGTGATTTCCATGACTATCATTTCGTTTTCGTTCACGATGTTAAACTAAATGTTAAATAAAATATTTTCTAAAAGGTGGTTACGATTTTTACTATGAATGAGAAAATGATTAGCTGAATGCCAACAACTATTAATGGAAGATCAGACTCAGAAATTGCAGCACATTTTATTGGCAATGTTGTTAGAAATGTCGCCTTTTGCAAGCCAATTGATGCCTGTTTTAACCCGTGTATAAAATACGATTTGAATGTCTAATTCCGATTAATGAAATAAAGATTGGTGCTTGCAGGAGGCGACTCATTGTGCTGCAGCCATCCTGATGGCCACCGGAGACAGATCCACAATGAGGTGCGGAACAAACTGAGGACCTTGAAGAGAAGGATTCCAAAGGAGAACCTGCTGGGAGGGTCGATGAGGGAAGACTACGTGGACTTTATTGTGAATAATGACTAACAACTACAAACACTCGAGGAATAACAGAATGTTGATGATTGTTTAAAAACCGTTTGATATGTATGAATATTTATTTAAGATGTGGTTGGATTATTACAAGTTAGAATGAACTGTTGAACAAAACTTCGAGTTACACTATCGAGAAGATAAGATGAAATTTGTAAACCAAATCATATAATATCATTACGAACATAAATGACGATAATTCGTAACAGCAAAGCAAAGAGAAGAAAATCAAAACCTAGACAAAGCCATTGGGAACTTTATCTTTATCTCCTGAAGATAACGATGACAGTGGACGTGACAGTGTATCGATAGTTATGTGGAGTGAATGTGTTAATTTATACTTTTATAAAATCTCGTTAATGTTTCATTAAATGATAATAACTACCATCAATTAATATTTGAATAATTTCAAAATGCCCTAATTCACTTATCTTGATCACTTTCAAAGTTTTTTGCTCCCTGTTCATATTTTCGATTCCTTATTTGTCCTATTGGAAAGTTATGCACAATCTATTTGCACAATTTCACCCGTTTTATTGCTAACTGCACCATGAACACGGCACGTTTTTTGCTTTACTTTTTTATAGTTAAGAATAAAAGATAGACCTTTGGGAACATGAAAATGCATATTGATGCAATGTAGAAATCTGGATAGAAATACATGCCCCGTAAGTGTAGTAAGATAATAGAACAGGATTTTTCCGTAGAAGTCATAGTCAAAAACTTGTTAACAAAATAAAAATGTTCGTTAATTTTGATAAGGAAAGTATAGTGGAAGGTTACGGAACTATATTAATTAGAATCACAGTTTAACATTTTGAAAAAGTCAAAGAAACAGCAGTATTTCCCTTAATAAAGTAATAAGTTTTATTTGATACTAGCGACCCGCCCCGGCTTCGCACGGGTGCAATATGCATGTATACAAACATACATACAAACTGTCCTTAAGAATCACTCTATCTATTAAAAAAAACCGCATCAAAATCCGTTGCGTAGTTTTAAAGATCTAAGCATACATACGGACATACAGCGAAAGCGACTTTGTTTTATACTATGTATTGAAGCCGGCAAATGTGAAGACGGATCACCTGATGGTATGCAATCTGCGTCGTCCGTGGGTCCAAGCAATACCAGAGGAGTTAGAAGTGCGTTGCCAGCCTTTAGGGGGTTAGGAATGTACGGATTGAGAAATGAATATGGGGATTGGGAGGATTGGGTAAGAAATATGTGTGTATAATTTGGTAAAAAGTCTCACTGATTAATTGCATCAGTCAACACAAGCGTAGATAATATTGTAGGTATATAGTACAATACTATATGAATGGACTAATTTGACATATTTATTTGATAATGTGTGTTGTGGTGGCTCGGAGTTTTAAGACGTCCATTTCTCATGTATGAGAGTAGAAAACATCATGCGGATAATTGAAATTGCCAACCCGCAATGAGCAAGCGTGGCGATTAATGTTCAAGCCTCCTCCGTATGAGACGAGGCCTTTGTCATTAGTGGACACTTATAGGCTGTTGATGATGATAATGGTGTATGTGTAGCTGAAATTGTTGTAGTAGAGCAAATGATTGATGACATGCATCGTCAGTAAATAAAATGTGATATTTCAGTAAACCAGAATGCCTCACAGATGTGTGTGCCTTTTGTTTCCGAGTACTCCAACTGTAATGATGGTAAGTTATCATTAGTTATTTCTTCGTCTGCTTCGTTTTTTTTAATATTACTTATTTGTCTTTAATTTACAATCAGTAGCCAGACTATGAGCAAATTAGTTGAAAGCCAAATGACATTTTGAGTGACTACAGGCAATCATCTGGAGAGTCTTGAGAGAGAGGAAAATCCTTTAAATTCCTTCCTTTCTTAGGCTCAATTTTTGTTAATTATGTTATGAGTCTTATGTTATGGGGAATGAAGCTTATTATTGGGTACAATTCTAAAGTGTGACCATTTTTTAATGAACTCGGTAATTTATTTTTATTGGTTGTCAGAAACAAGGTCTCTATTATCCTTCAACTAAAAATGAGTGTTGATTTAAGCCGCTCAAGGTTCATTTTTGAAGGCTTCTTGTTGATGTTTAAACTTTTTTAGATAACTTGTGTTCGGGCTGCAGTAAATGTACTTGCACTCGCGAGGGCCAGTGGTCGTGTCAAGATGTGAAGGAGTGCCCCCAGGACATTCCTCAGGACGAGATCCCAGATATAGATGTTAATAAAAAGGATGATTTTGATATGGATTACGATAATGACATGATATTTGATAGCGCCCTCAATATGCTGGAATTTGGTAAGATTGTTAACCACTTATGTCCGTTTTTACCAACGACTCCTAAATTTTAAGGAACTCCCAAACGAAGTAAAATTTCACTGAGTAGACATTCGATAAGTTTTTGGTTTTTACCGACCTTTAAGTGACACCTAATTTAAGGGGTTCATGTCACGATAAGTAACTTTTAGTTAAGAGGTGGTTGGTGAAAATGGCCATTAGATAATCGAATATGAATGAGAGCAGGCGATAGAATTGTCATATGGTTAATTGGGTAAAGTTGGTAGGTTATGATTTGGAATAAGGAACTGTTAGTATTACTATTTCAATGGTTCAAATAATGATAGTAGATGTTACTTTTGATAGAAATGAGCAAGAAAAAGAAGCTCATTAAGACGTCCAACAATCCGCTGGTACCCGCACCGCAAGTAGTGCAGCATAAAGATGAACTGTTAGGTAAGTGTTCTATTATTTTTATTCTGGTGTCAAGATTTAATACTTACTCAAAATTTTTATTCTTTAAAATATTTAGACTTTCTTTTTAAACAATTTTTGATGCCGCTGTAGTTGCTGAATGTTCGCAGTTAAAATCATGTTCAATCTTCATAAAAATATGAATATTTGCACTGTTCTTTATTTTGAGATCTGACACAACTAGTGAAGATTAAGTCTAACTAAGCTAAATAATTCTTCTTCCAGGTTATTTGGTAGCTATACCACGACAAGAGCACTAAGTCGCACACTATTTTTTAATACAGCACTATTGCACATTATTAATTTAGTTTTATTTTATATATTTTTTTTAACCAATCACTGGTAAGTGGTTTATATTTTATCAAACCCCGTTGTACATGTACATTAGTGAATCATGGTTCCATATTACAGATCAGTTCCATGACATATCTTTGGATGATTTCGTCGATAGTTTAAGTCGACCTGGAAGGTCTGTTAGTATGGCCAAGAGTCACAAGAAGCGATCAGTGGACAAAGAAATTAAAAAACATGAGCTGAGCGGCAACCTGAGTCAGCCAAGCAACAATAGTATCCACTTCTACAATACAATTGATGAAATAAATGAAGGTACCATTCTTCTAGCATTCAATCTTCTAACTGTGTAAATTGAATGATAAATTAACCTGCTTAACAATATTTCAGATACTCTAAAAGACAGCAATGTAACAGGCACAGTACTTGCCAAGAAAGTAGATATGGTAGCGCCGCACACGAGACGATCAGACTCCTTCCTAGGTAATGGTAGCAAGGCACTCCAAATAGAATACAGCCAGCCCCACACGTATCATCCAATAACTAATAATAAAATAGAAGCAGAACAAGAAAATAAATTTGATTTAAGTCATGAAAACCTAAAAACATTTCTCGGGAACTATAGTCAAGAAACAAAAAATAAAGTCGTATCAAAGATTGTTGTCAACGAATTGAAGAAAGGCAGTGAAATCATTGGAGACGCGACTGCTACTGTTATATCAAACATCACTTTTACTCCAGAAAACGACACATTAACAGCAATGGCTTTCATTGCCGGCAATCTTTTGAATAAACTATGGAACATGGAAAAAGACGCTTCTGCGTCTTCAATGGAGACTGATAAATTAAAACAAGAGAAGATAGCTGATCTTATTGACCTTTTTAAGGAACCCCTAAATCTGAGACAAGAAACGTTCCTTAAAAATGCACTTGAACAGTTGTCCAGTGCAATAGATAAACAAAAGGATGTTAAAAATATTTCCATATGTGAGACTTTTCAAAATGTCGACAATACGGGTGATACAGTTGATGATGAAAAACCGAAAAAAGTTTTAGTAAGTATGCCATGTACACATAAAGATAAAAAAAATAAAGAGGTTGGAGAAAAAAATACGAAAGCAACTGTCAAAGCTATAACTAAAATACATAATGTTTTAGATTTGATCAGAAAATTTGAACGTGTTCAAGGAAATCTGAGTGAACTTAAACATGGTCCAAACCTAGATTTTACACGCAATGGTACAAGGAAGGACGATAAAAAGTATACTCAAACTACATTAACTAATGATGAAAGTTATTCCTTAAATATATTTGGAAATATTTTAGAAAAAATAACAAAACTCATATTACCAAAACGGAATAACAAGAAAATCAAAAGTTTAATAACCAGTCAAAATATATTATCAGGAAACGACCACTTAAAGAAAAAGTTTAAGAAAATGTACAACATTGATTTGACTAACATGACGGTGACCGCTAAAGATAAGATCATTTTAGATTATTTAACTCATGTAGAAAGAAACCCAGATTGTTTCCTAAACAATAATAACAATGATGAACTTGAAAATATACCCACTCTCGAAGGAAATATTTTCCTCAAATTAACAGAATTTTTCAAATTAAAGACATTCAATGATTTGTTGAAGTTGTTAGAACCCGAACGCACTACCCACGTCCGTGCTAATGGAACAGACCGAGCTGTAGTTGAAACTACTACTTTATTTGGGAGAAATAAACTGTTAACAAATTTAAAAAGTGGGGATCCTAATAAATTTAATTCGACAAAAGAAAAACTTAAAGCGCATTTTAAAACCATTATTGAGGATTTAATAGAATTACAAGGAACCAAAGGGTTCAATTTAAAAGGTCATATCAAAATAGCAGATGCTTTGCCTTGTATCTATAATATTTTAAAACCCTACAGAGAAGAAAACGTCAATAAAAAGGAGAAAGTAATAGAAGACCCAATAAAAAAAGTGGCCAGTATATTTAACGAGTTAAAGAAAGAAATGAAATTGGCAAAAACCCGTAGAACTTTCGATAATACTTTAACGGAAAGGCCTAAATCTGCAATTGTATGGGAACGATTGGTTAAGAACTTAAATAATAAAACTAATTCAAATACCCGCAGGACGTTAAATGCTAAAACTCCGAAATCATACGAACAAATAAAGAAAACGATGGAGCACATTGAAAGTGGTAGCTCCACGTACAAGCAATACGCATTGCTTGTGAAAGTTCCCCCTTCAGCTAAATTGGTTTTACTGAAAGCCTTGGAGCAAGATGTTCAGGCCACTATTGAAGGATTCAATGATATTTTATTGTCGCTGCCAGATTTAATAAAATTGCCAAAAGAAAAGTTTATTGATCTGGAAGAGTTTATAGACAATACGATAAAAGGACTAAAATTGAGCGAAGAAATTAACGAAAAAATTAAATCAGAAGACAAGAATGAAGAGACAAAGTTTTTCAGTAATGACATCACTTCACAAATATTAAATACAATAAAGAATAAATTGAAGGAGAAACAGATGCTTAAAAGTGAGAACGCAAGAAATGAGGAGAGCGATCAGTTGAGAGTTAGTAGAGCACAGATCATAGCTCAGCTGATAAGAAATCGTGTGAATCAGTATATGAACGATAGAGAACATCAAAAAGGTGCCACTGAAGACATTAACTATGCTATTGCACGGAGGATAATTTATTACTTAGACGTTGGAGATTACAAACTCGCTAATGACATGTTTAAAATGTTGTTTTATCAAAATGATAATAAACTAATGCCTTTTTCTTTTGGTCAATCTGTGAACAAGCATTTCGGTGAGTTTTATTGTGATCTATTTTTGTTATCAAGTAATCGAGTTCAATGAATAGTTTGACTAAAAATTTAATTGTTTCAGTATCATCGACTCTAAAATATAGTAATATTCCAATGCGTCGAAGTGCGCAGCCACTTAAGGAGTCGAACCCCAGCTTGATGTTTGAGGACGCAAGTAAAATGAAGGGCAAGTACAAGGACTGGATCAACCAGGACCACCTGATCAAGCAGCTGTTGAACATAAAGAGCATGAGAATGTAGAACTTGATATTTTCTATACTTTTATATTTTTCAATAAACTTTTTGTACATATATGTGTGCTTGATTTCATTAACATATAGCAAAAATAAAGTAATTAGGGAATTCGTTGAGTTAGTTGCATTTTAAATTGTACAGTATAAAGTCTATAATTACTGAGGCCTTAGTACGAGTTTACAACAGCGCCAAACGCTGTTGTAAACTCGTAAATATTCGTTACGATTACTTTAAACGTAAAACAAACTCGTACTAAGGCCTCTGCACTACGTAACAAAAGTCTAAAGATAAAAATGGAAATATCTCAGAAAGAACAACATAAATCTTTGTACTTTTATTTTTGTTGTACTTGAAATTTTAAATAATCACAGATGAATTCCTTGTTATTCTGTTTGAATCAATAATCTCAGGCTTGTGATTGGTGCCTTCAGCTGATTAATTGGCTTCCGTAGTTCTTGATTGGGTGGTCGTAGTTTTCGGAACCACGTTTCCATTCAGCCTCTTCGTTCTAGGTGTTGTAGTTCTCCTCCACATGCGTTCTGGAAACAATCATGGTTTTCAAAACGTATTGAACTCTATAATCAAGATTTCTATACAGAACCATGACTTAGAAGTATGTACAACAACATAATTATTGTAAATCAATTAGTAAGTTGGTAATGCATGCATAGGTTCCGATAAATGCCGTCAACATAATTATGTCAAAGTCAAAGTCCATCCATGGGTGATGCCGTTTGCTTACCATCAGGTGACCCGTCTGCTCGTTTGTCATCCTATGCCATAAAATTGTGTGGTACCTATTTCGAAATATCTTAGTATAAGAGTATTTTTATACCATAAGTTAAAGCCATCCTTTTTTTCTTCAATTTATCGGCTAAACGCGTTGCGTTAGCAGTTGCAATTTTCTGGTTTTGTTTTATTTTCGGATTGACCTTATGTCTTAAATATCTTGGTATGATGCTCTTGATACGTGTTGAGAATCGATCTAAAACTAAAAGAGATCTTTTATTTCTTGCAGTGACTTCTAAATTTTTCTGCCATTTCTTCATAGCTTCCTCGTACTCGTTGTATCTTTTTTCTGATATTTCGTCTAACTTTTTCTTCGCAAGTTGTTTTACTATTTCTGACTTGGGAACCTTTCTGTGTAGAAGCTCTGCGATATCTTTCTTCGAAGTCTCCAGTAAACTGCGAATGTGTTTTATAAACGAACGTGTTTTCTTTTTCTTTGAATCAGTTGTATTTAATGGTTTAGTGTTAGTTTCGCCTTCACTCGGTGGATTTGTTGTTTCTGTTGAATTAGGTTTCAGTGAATAGTATTTTACTATTATTTGCATTTTATTGTGAATATCAGTCAAGCCAGTGTTTATTTTATCTATTACATCATCGTTTACTTTATCTAATGACGGCAGCATTCGTCTGCTGTGAGAAAAATCTATCAAACTTAAAGCGTTATTAATTTTACTAATATCTGACGTCAAACCAAAATGTAGTAGTTTCATTCTAAACAGGCTAGCGAAAGGAGTGCTGGTTAGGAGATTCGCAGACATCTCCTGCCACTGAATGCCAATCATTTGTAAATCTTTAGTTAAGTTATAGTTAGGGTCATGCACACGTACGCCGGCCACAGCTAGTTCATCTACGTAGAATGAGTTTACAATGTGTTTCATTATTCTCCTCGAGGTTGGTGACAGTGGAGATAAAGCATTAGACTTTGGCGTATGTTTGTCAATTAACTCTATGATTTTAATCAAGCAGTCCTTCAATGAAATGTGAGCACATTGTCCAACATTCTGGTTCATCTGTCGTCTGAAGTTTCTCATTTTCTTTATTTTTATTTTCTTCAGTTTACTATCGTGCCATTTGTTCTTGTAAACGTATCGTTTCATTGAGTGCAGGAGATAATTCAAGTCATTAGGTACATTTGTACCCTTATGCCGCTGTATTGCTATTATGTCTCGTATTACTTCGAAAATGTCATTTTTCAATTTTAGCGTATACTTGTCGTATGTTTGTGTATTTGATCTTCTTGAACTAACATTGAAACCTGTGTCCATGGCAAAGTTGTATATAGAGAAGTATGTATTTCCTGTACTATTTTCTATATCTTCTGGTAGCGCACCATCACTTTTAACAAATTTAGCGAGGTTGTCCTTGATTTTCTTTAAATTTTCTAATTCTTTTATTTTGTCATGTATAATTTTATTGAATGGTATAAGTACACTTTCTTTAAAATCATTGGGTAGAGCTTCTCCTGTGATATTGTCCCTGGTATTATTAGTAGTGTTCACTATAATAGTGACTACTGGCACTAAGCTGGGTGCTGTCATTTTGATTTGCTCTTTAACATCTCTTTTCATAATATTGAGTCTGTTGTAATCTATAACATCATTCATGTCTTCAAGTGCGTTAGCTTCTATATCCTTGGTCCAAGTGGTATCATCTGAAAAAATAACATATTCAGGTTATTTTGAGCTATATGCTTAATATTTCGTAACTTCTGGGAACTTTGAAGTGGTTCCGCAAGTTCCACTAGCGGGTATTGGATCAATACTAATTGAGCCATACATACCGTCAGTTGTGTTTAACTTGGCTCCGAGTTGCTCAGCTGCAGACAGTAAATCAATCACAACTTTAGTAGTTTCAGAACCGGGAGGTTCTGTCACAGCATCATTTTCTTGCGCCATATTCATCATGTAGACTAAGTTATCACCATTAGTATTAGTGACATTATCTTCATCAAAAATTATATAATCAATGCTAAAACTTTGATTACTAAGTATATAATCCAATGGTTTTCTTCGACTGTAAGTTTTGGTGTCTACTGCGATACTTCGAAGCACTTCGTCGAATTCAAGATAGTCTGTGTCTGTGTTAATCGTTTTTGATTCTGTTAATGTTGTCGATGTGGGTGCTTCAGTTATTGGGCTAGTTTCTGAAAATGTGACGTTATTTTTTATTAGTACCTGATTAAGTAGTCAAAACTTATAAAAATTACGTAGGACCAAGTTAAGGAATGAAAACATTACTTTGGCGTTATAGTTATAGTTTGGCAAATACGAAACTTTTGATGTACTCCGTGATGCTAGACGTACAACTGAAATAACCGCTAATCGAAAGAAAGTGATGTGAAGTGAAGCGATGTGAAAAGACATCAAGACTAATATTGTAAATGTGAAAGTTTCTATGGACGTTTTTCCGTCAAACACGCTGAAACTACTGAACGGATTTTGATGAAATTTGGTATACAAGCAGGGTATAGCTTAGGTGATAGGGTATTTTTATCTCGATGAATTGCTCACATGGAATAAAATAGGAATACGTAGGCAAAGCCGCGGGTAAAAGCTAGTCTTAAATATGTCTTTTTAAGCGGAGGATGATATACGTACAAAGAGGTAGATTATTACCAGTACTAGGTGTTCCAGCAGCCTTATTGTTTACCGCAGTAGTCGTGGATTCAGTGGAAGGTGTCTCTGAGATACGACGAGGTAGCTTCATGCCATAGAACCACTCAGCGATCTGTTCCAGGGTAATGGTGCTGGCGGTGGTAGTGAACTCCTCCGAGTTATTTCCCACCGACCTTTTTACTTTCTTTGAATGTGCACCTGCAATATTGTGAAGAAAAATTTTACAAAACTTAAGTTTATAGTTAGATTTTTTATATTTTAAAGATTTTATGTATCATCCGATATCGATGTAAGGAAAAAGTACATTTTATTCTTTCTTTCTCAAATATATTTAGTCTGTTATTGGGTCTTGACTATAAACAGCTAGCACCAACTAATATGATCCTAACATTCTTATTTAACTCTCATCCTATTCGTGTTACTGATAAAATAAATAGTCT